AATGGAACTTAAAAGGAAATAGGAGTGAGTAAAATAGAGTATTAAAGTTCTATTTCAGCAATTATTACCTAAGAAGTCTCTTTTTGATTAATTAAGTGTGTGTGTGTGTGTGTGTGTGTGTGTGTGTGTGTGTGTGTGTGTGTGTGTGTAAGTTAGTTTAAGTCCTCATCCCAGAGTTTATATACAGGAAGACTTCAGAGTCTTTTGGAAAAGGCATGCAGACATCTGCTTGATTTGCCAGTTACAGTGGCTCATTGGACAGGAAGGAGAATGTTTAATTTAATTATTATTGACTTTGAATAGACATTTTGCCACTGCTAATAATATTAGCTAGATTAATGAATTGTTCAAGGGTTATGGAGACAGAAAGAACATAGTGAGAGCTATTGTTCATCAATATTTGGATAGTCTTTCCCAGAATAGTCATGTAAGTCACGTCTTATTGTAAAATATTTTCCTATTTGCCTTTTGGGTCTTGAATTTCTCTCTCTCATTTGCTCTCTCTCTCTCTCTCTCTCTCTCTCTCTCTCTCTCTCTCTTTGTGTGTGTGTGTGTGTGTGTGTGTGTGTGTCTGTCTGTCTGTCTATCTGTCTTTCCTGTCTCTGTCTGTTTCTCTCTCTCCCACTCAATTTAAAAGGAGTATTAGTTGTTTTTGATACAAGTGTTATTGTGAAAGTCAAAACTATTGCTGTAAATGATATTCTACAGTGCCTACATAACATGTCCTCTTCCAAATGATACATGGTAAGTCTTACTCTGATGCATGGTAAATCTTTCTTAAAATTATTATTTTTTTAAGTTGGAGTACTTGATGTCTTCGTCCGTAACTGGTCTGGCTATGTAAGCATGAGGAGGAGCATAATGTTGAACTCTACTGTGGAGATAAGATGTTAACTGATAGCATTCTTCACTGCTCATTTCCTTGTATACTTCCTGTCCACTCAAAGTTAAAGACTTGAATCAATCTGGCTTTAAGAGATATCTACATTTAGAATTTTGAGCTCATTATTATTCCAAAGAATTTTGGGATCACACCTGCAGTTTCATTATTAAATGAGGATAATATTTCCAGCTTTTGGCTAATAATATTTAATATACATTTTGACAATAATTAAGCTTATTATCAAAGTGAACATTTTACCGAAAGACTTTTATTTAACATTGTATCTCCTTTTTAGAAGATGCTTCTCTCTACCCAACAATTTGATAAGCGGGTATTTTGATATTTTAGTTTGAACTGGTTATTTCTGTTCACAGGCCTCTTCAACTTTGTCATCATTACAAAAACACTTTCCTTTCCTTTACACTTGAAATAAGAAGCTGGACTATATCTGATTATCCCTAACACAGTCATTTATTAGTGTACCAACCCTGTCTCCAGATATTTAACAAAATGGTAAATGATCACTTGCAACATTATCTCTGCACCTGCCTCCCTCTAGAAAAACCATGTAATAATGCTGAACACATTTCAACAAACAGAAATAAGTTGAATGCAAACCACGCTATCCATCTAAATATATGGAAGAGGTTCTCATTAGCTCACAGGTGTATGGTGCAAACAAGCGACTAGCATAGACTTTGCAATACTTTATTTTTTATGCATACATCACTGTAACAATTATGTGTGTAGCTTTCAATCCTTTCAGTTGAGTACTTAACCTCTCTGACATGGTACATTAGAATAAAGGAGATAATAAGCAAGATTTGTAAAATATAACCATACTACCAATGTGTTTTTTAGAAAATTGATATAAGTATGACATCTCTATTATTTCTTTAAAATAAATTGGAAATATATCACAACTTTTAAAAATGTATCATCCTTAATATTCTCCAGGAGAACTCCTTGCCTTCTTTCTCAGGCTAAAACCATACATTCAGCATTCTGTACAATGGTCAGGGTAAAATTGGATGAGGCATCAGACGTTTTCAAACATAATCTCTTTAGAAAGTATTGTGGGAGAAGGTAGCCTGAGAAATTCTGCCAGTAAGAGAGATAATACTTCATGGACACTAAACTGATACATTTTAACTTCATCCACAAATGGTGTTTCATTGCAACATCTTACTCTAAGGTGAGGCTCATCACCTTAGGATAGGAGAGGGCTTAATTTCAAGTTCTAAGCAGTGCAAAAATGGCTTGGAATGGCGTGGGGATGGGGTTGCACAAGGATTCGCTAAATCTTTTGTTCCTGCTTCAGAACATTGAAGGCTAAGACTAAAGGACTCACTTCCTATGTTTCTTCTCTAGTGTGAAGGGGATGAGGGGTGCGTGGAATATTTTTAAGTGAAGTTGACAAATGTAAGGAGACATGTAAAAATCTAAGAGAGCTATAGAAAAATATGCCAGACAGAGAGACCCTGAGAGTCACCAGTGTAGAGCTACCCCAGATCCCTTCTACTCACTAATGCTCATCATGAGGCTACCTGCGGTGGGGTGAGGTCACTCCATGGCTGAAGCTAGGGTTGACAACCCAGCTGATTGGCTGTATGAGGGCTGTGGAAGATTCTGAGAGGGCTGCAGCCCACAGGCACTGAGGTATAGCCTTCATGAAGCTGAAAGATCAGAACACAAGCTCCAGAAGCTACAGATTTCAACAAACTGCAGCTGGGAATCATCCGGGTGTACAAATGACCTGTTCTCAGAGAGCAAAGAGCAGAGAGGGTCCCTCTCCCAAGGACCCCACCTCATCCCCTCCTGCACTAGGATGGATAAAACCTCTTCTTCTCTACTCTAAAGTGATTTTAGGGATGCAAAAAGAGGAAGAGGAAGCCAGCCAAGAGACTGTCTAAACTCATTTATATAAAATCTTGAAACTTTCTGAAAATGGCTACTTAAATTATCAGCTTAAGTGGATGTTTGAATATTTATTTAATTTTTTTTTCTCCCAGCCAGTTTGAAAGGGGCTTGGAATAATGTTTAGATTAGTTAAAACCAAAATAACAAAATGTTTTTTCTGCACATCTATGAGTTCAATTTGCCACCTTGCTATAGCTTTTAAAAATAATAAGACAAAAGGCTACTTATCTTTATTCATCTTGAGGTAATGTACAGAATTATAAAGCCTGAGTTACAGGGCATTTGAAGGTCCCTGAAGCACACACCCCCCACCCCACGCCTGCTATTGCTGCTTGGAAAACGCTTCTTTCCATTCATTTTGCTGTGAAAATAAACTGTCTTTTATGTCTATTTAAAAAATACTCTTCTAGTAATTTCTTAAAAATTCTGCTAGGGATGAAAATGGCTATTTTGAACAAAGCATAAATATGTCTTTTATGTTGAAATCTGATTTTTATATTTCTTTTACCCATTGCCCTCAGTAACACCTTTAGGTTCTCTCTCTCTCTCTCTCTCTCTCTCCCTCCCTCACACACACACACACGACACACACAATTGTGACATTTGAATTTTCACTATAGTAAAGGGCAAGGTTGAATTCATTTATAGAAAGAATCGTTTCTTTGTTTTTCAGTTTAGAACAGAACAAACTCAA